TCAGGTTGGTTGAAAACGCAATCGTTTTTTAGTTACGTTTGATTTTTATTTATTCTTGATTTAAATTTGTTTGATATCTGACGTGGCGTGTTTAAAATTTAACGCAGACCGTGCAACAGCCAATGGACATGATGAGATTTGAGTCTCCGGTAGGACAGCAAAGTCAACTGTCCGCGCCGGTTACCACCGACAGTCTTCGTATGAGTAAATTAGGCTGACGTGGAGTACTTATTTTTCTCCGATATTATTTTTACAGTGGGATTTTTATGTATTTTTGGTCGCCTAAACATAAAACTTTAATGATAATTTACTTTAAACTCGATGGAGGGTTCGCCATTTTCTCTCTCAACGAATGTGCGGCCGAAACAGTAACTTTTCCGGCGAAAGTGATTTTGACTCCGGCGTGCGGCGGCTTTCACAGTGTCGATGCCGGAGCTCTTGGTTTTACGCTCTGTCTCTTAGATTCGTTAGTTTTCAGCCTCTAGTTTTCATTCGTAGTTGGTCGTAAGGGGTGGGTTCAGATCTAGGGCCTTGGTCCGGTTTGTTCTGTGGTTGGTTCTGTCTAGGTCTTCGTCTGTGGCTGTGGAGGTGGTGGATTCGCTGGCGTTTGGTCTAGTTTGGTGGAGCTCGCGTATCTCAATCGTTGTTGTCTCAGATCTGGATTTTGTCTTGACCTGAGCATAGAAGGCGGAGCTTGCTTTCGTCTTCTCCGTTTGACTGGGTTTCTAAATCTGTTGCTTTTCCCCCTTTATGGCTTGTTGTCTCGTTCTMTTGGCTTGCTTTGATYGCATCTTTCCCCGAGCTTTGGCTTGTCCGTTAAGCTCTTATGCTCTGTTTGGTAYATGGTTTTGKCTTCTCTACTCCTTGTTTATTCATTGGTGAAGGGTTTGTGGAGTTGTTCGTGCAACAGGTTGATTTCTCTTTGGTGATGATGAAGATGTTCTCGGGGCAAGTCTTCCCGTGTCCAACAGCTCAGTGTCTTTGCTCTCCGTCTTTTCCGAATAATTCTTCTAGTGGCGATGCATTTCAACAGCTTTCCTTCAATGATATTGGGTTGAGTATCAGTGAAGAAGTATCAAGAGTGGTTTGGATGTTGCTGTTTCTCTTTGTTGGTGATCTTCTATGCCTTGGTTCTTATTGCTATAATCATCCTCGGTTTGGTTTATACCTAGTCACGACCTTTGAAGGTATTGGTTTCTAGGTTCTCTTCAGCTCATGCGTGCTCGTCTTCCCTTGTGTGATTTTCAGGTTCAGAGTTGGCTTCCCGTCTTTACCTTATGTCTTGGTTGTAAGCTTGCAGAGATGGCTTTGGTTTGATTGGATTAGTCATACATCGGGTTTAGTTGTGTTTTATAGGTTGAAGCTGGGTTTTCGGTTGTAGCTTTGGTCTCCAATGTCGTACTTGTTGACATTGACTTCGTATTTCAATATCGTATCCCAAAAACGTATCTCAAAAATGTATCCCAAACTCGTTTTTGAGTATGTTTAATATAATATTTAAGGTGACAAAAAGAAAACATAAAACTTTAAGAAATGTATTGGAAAAAATACAATAAGATTATCGATTTAGTTTATATTTTGGGCCGAGTAAAGAAATGGTAACATCTTTCAATTGGTGACGTAATTCTATCGTCATAAAGGTTTTCAAGGGCTTCAAAAACAAGATAAAAATGTTTAATTGGGCATGAATTCACATTCTCATGGGCTTTACGCTCAAAAATCAAAACGCACACGCAAACGATTCGTACGTTTCCCCAATTTATTAGGCCGGTGTAGCCAAATTACCGATTATACCCTCTATCATGACACGTGTCTTGCAATCAGAGCGAGTTTATCCTAATTATATACTCGAGCGTGTAAAAGTTCTATAAAGCAAAGTAGAGAAAAAAAGCGTATATAAAAGTAAAATAATACCAACCAATAAGCTTCATGCACCTCAGCAATCTCAAACAAACACGATTAATATAAAAACAAAAAAATAGCTGCGACCCTTAACCTTTCTCCTTCTCTCTCTCGCTCGCTCTGTGAAATTTTGATTTTTTTTGGCCCATTGTTTCTGATCGTCGCTGATCTCTGTGGAGAAGATAGATAAGAGTAAATCTGCATGAAATTGTTTGGAAGACTGAGTTTTTCATCTTCGATTTTAACCTACTTCACTCTTTTGATTTCAATCCTTAGTTTTTCTCCCCAGTTGCCGATTTCGCTCTTACTTTTCGAGCAGAAATCGTTAGATCCTTTATCGCTCAA